GGTGAAAGTACAGGATTTGCTCTTTCTAACAAGCACCAAACCGTTTTTCAAAATCCATTTTCCGAGAAAATCACACGTTCGAACATTTTGTTCCCATAGGTTTTTGAGCAGCACATGCGAGTTTTTGAGCTTTCAGCAATAATAACTTCCTTCAAAGAGCTTGTTGGGGAGGGGCGAAGACATTTTTGAAGACTACGAGATTTCTGCTTTCTTATGTGTTTTACAGTTGTCTGGAAGAATCGTCCTCAGAAAATTAGGTCCCGAAGAACTTTAATTTCAGCCCCGAGAAGTCAAACCTTTCATAGGGATGCATTCAACTGTTCTTTATTCCTAAGGAAAACACCGTAATTTGCCTAAAACTGTCTCTCTGTGCATAATAAATCGAATCTAATGCGGTCTGCACAAGCAATTCTTGCCCTCGGATACGCCACGCACGCGCCTGTGGCTGGCAGTCCTCGAAATTGCGACCCCCTTCCGACCAAAATGCGACCCCTTCGTTCGAACAGTTCGAACGGACGGTTGACCCTGCTCTGCGCTGCCTACAGTCCATACTGCCTTCTCATTTGAAGCCTACTTGGGTCGAAGCTAAGGTAGGCGAAAAAACTCTCTCCGTCTCTGGCTCTTTGCTGCTCCGTAGGATTCCTGTTGGGTACACGAGTTTTTGCTCACCACGCATCAATTGGAAGCCCTGAAGAACCCTGACTTCTTGTTTAATCGACCTCAACCTATTGCAATTTCTTCCATTAAATGCAAGGGCAGCGATCGAAACAGTGTAATAAGTATTTTGTTTAGAAACTGAGAGATAACTGTGAAGAGAAAAGTTAATGGAGAAAGCACAAAGCACCATGTTGAGGTCGACCGCGGTACGACGGAAAGACACAGCGCTGCGAGGAGGGGAGAAACACGAGGGAGCATGTCAGCATGAGGGGCGCATACGCTACACATGCCGCGTTTGACAGGAGTGGTAGCGGTCGCAGAGTTCAAGCAAGAGCATTTCCTCCATTATCGCGTACTTTAGGTAGCGATAGTGCCACACCCTTGTGAATAGAGGTCCTGCTATCGCTCAAGCTAGGCATTTCTCGAGATCTGGATCTAAGTGTTTTGTTCCCCTAGGCCGCTAAATCGGTACGCAACTTGCGTGTAACATGTGGTTTGATGAAAATCTTACAAACTTGGATTTCCATAAGCACTGGGTAAGCCAAACGCATAACCCTTGCACTTTTGAAAATTAAACCAATGCAGGCTTTTTGGAGAGCAACCTTTGCTTCCAGAGTCGACTAATTGACTGTAGAAATTTGATTGGCTAGAGGAGATTATATACAGAAATTACCCGCGATACACACGCTCCTCTCGACACTAAACCATTAAAAATTATGAGTGGAAAACGACAACTTTGTCGTCAATGGCACACTAGTGCAGTGCTAATGACTGACTGGTCTGAAATGAAGAAGGACTGAAGAACTCAAGAACTGATGAACTACTGCGAGGAGGTACTGCTAACAGGTGCCGGAGAGTTGCCTTCCTGTGCTTTGACATGTAATCATGTGCTTCTTCTGAATTAACACATTGGCGACAATGGCATCAGACGTCGGGCGACACATTTTCTGCCAGTTGGGACGATGGCACCCGATATCGGGTCAAATTATTGAAATGCTTGGACTTTTTCTTCCTTCTGATCACATATTTGTGACGCTACGAATGTTTATTTGCATTAGGTTTTTCACTTTATCTCGTTTTGCTACAGTTCAAAAATAACCCTAAACATAATATAACGCAACTAGCAGTTGAGATTTCTCCCATAATTTGTGGCGTGTTTGGAAGTATTCAATACAGAAGAAGCCCCCACAAGTACTACATCGAGTTCCCACTTTTCTATATGTGATCTAATGCAGTAACTACCATGTTCGTCGGAAAGCATGCTATAGCAGCCTCGACAACATCTGCTGTCTCAGCAGCATCATTATGAAGTCCATATTCTTTATCGAAGGAGGTTTGATCTCGCAGAACATCATCCTCGGTCCGCAGATCGGCTTTAATTCGTCGCTTTTGCTTGCATGTTCAAAACGTCGTCTTCATTCGGGTTAATGAATCCCCCGGAACAACCGATGCCTCTCAAGTTGCAGACTTTCGCCGCCAAATTTGCGCCAGTTGAAGCCATTTCGGCGCCGTAAATCGAGTCCGTGACCAGAGTCGTATTCGAGTTCAGCAGATGGGACGAACTATCACATTCAGGTGTTTGCCGAATTTGACAAAGGAAATATCGTGGCGCCAAGATGGCGCCAACGGGAGCCGAATCGGTGCCTAAATGGCGCGAACGCTCCAGATCTATGCCGTATTCGTGATCAGCGCATTAAATTTGCTATGTTGAAAAAGTTGTGCAAGAAAAATACATGCTGGTTTTCTGTAGTCCTACAAGGTCGGCACGCCGCTTGGTGGCCAACGTGTTAAAAATTGCGTTGTCGTCAAAATCTTCCGTTCCCCCTTCCGCTATATCAGTACCATTAGAGTTCAGTTGGAAGTTCATCTCGGTAATGATGTCATTCAACTCGTAGTTTTTATCTGATTTGCTTTCAGCAATCATCCCCAGAAAGCCTTTTTTCTCTCGAATTTTGCTTATTCAAAGCCGGTATTGTAATGTAAGCAGAAACTAGCACCAATGCAGAAAATTGAAGATGCTATGAACGGAGCTGCTGAGAATTACATTTTCTGAAGCTCCAAGCGTTGATTAGTGACCTGCGCTAGGAGCTGCTTTGATAACTCATCCAGAAAAAGCTCGCGCTACCTTGTAAAAGACTGCCGTTACAGCAGAAATTACAACGGTTATCTTCGTGCATAATAAGGTCTCCATAAGGTGCCCTCACTCGTAAAACTTGCCATATTGTGGTGGTTCCTTTAATGCGGGGAGCGCTCAAAAAGTCTTCTGTGAAATCCCTAGTCGACGGTACCTTTTTCCTGCTGGATCAAATCATATCGATTTTCAACACACTGCGACGCATAATTATAGTTCCACCTACAAATTTCCCAAAAACTTGAATCTGGGGATGTTTTTGAAAAGGCTCTACAGACAAATTGTGACACATATAAACGCGAATCTGAATATTAACACGGAAATCCAGTTTGAGAAAGCAACAATTTTTTATCCTCATTTTTTCGAAAATACCCGCTTTGCCTATGACGCAAAATCATAGTTCCACCTCATGTTTCTCCGCTGCATTTTGCTTTTACCCAATCAAATTTTGAAATTATTACCCATTCAAGTTCCTTAGCTTATAGCAAAGGCAAAACCGCTGTCAGACTTCCGTAAAAGGAAAATCCTAGCAAAAGAGACGCAGGAATCGAAGTGTCAGCTCACGCTGGAATTTGTCGGGGTGACTTCATAACGAACAAATTTCTCAAGGATGCTACAGGATATGATACTGGGAGGAACCCTGATTACTATCCGACCGAGATAAGCGCCGTATCGTGAGAAAATAATACAACTTTATCCAGCCGGGTACGGAAATCAAAACTTCTTCAAAAGTTAGTGTCTCAATGGAAGCAGTTTCACGTGTTTTACAACACGCTCGTGACAGTCCATGTCTGGAAGATAAGAAATACGCTTTTGTGAAAAGAAATCAGAGAGAGAAAACGAGCCATTTTTCTTAAAAAGTTTTGCTAAGTGGAGCAATGTGAGGACACTTATTTGTGATATTTTGGAACCTCTGACCATACTTCCTCATCTTTTCTTGTCCATATACAGTCCATATCCGGGAGACAGGGTGGGTGGGGCCACAGACGTGATTGCGGACTACACAAACTTGATAGATGTCGCAGCAGATCAGCTGATTTGTATTCGGTAATTTCTGCTATTATTTTATCTTCTGCTGCATTCTGTTATTCTCTGGCACTATTATGCTTCGTTTTGGAACAGGTAAGTCACTTTCAGTAAAAAATAACGCTGCTGTGTACTAAATCTGCACGATTTATTGTAAATTCCGGTAGTGGAGCGTTGTTTTTGAGTGTCGCCTAAACCTACACCCTGAAAAAATGCAGGACGAGTTTTTTGGCAAGCTGCCCACTGTTTGAATTCAGTTCGTTGCGGGACCCACGCCATTTGCCACTACCGTAATTGGTTTTGGCGCATCGTTCCTATTAGGACTGTACATTTGAATGGTTGACATTGGTTTTTGGACTCTCTCATTCAGTGTTTCAAAAGGATTGCTTTGCGAACCCAACAAGTATAGTGGCCCGCTCGAGATTCAGGGTTTCCAACCTCGGCGAACGTACAGCTTGATAGATCGCATACAAGTGTATGATAGTAAACACCTTAAAGAAACGACAAATGAATAGCATTAGGGTTCAAATTCTCCACTGGAGGCCACAAGTAGTGAGCTTGAAAAAAGTATACCGGCCCAAAATTCTACAAGATTTGCATAATCTAACCCATACAGGTTACCCAACCTCCAAATCACACATATTTCATGGACCCGTAGTTACTCCTCAATCGAATCGCCGCTGAATGGAGTAAAAACCTAGGGAATCCGCGATACAGGACTTCTTCTTGTCTGATTTCCGCGCTCGACAAGATTTTACGACAGATGACGTCATTGAAGTTGCTCTCTTTTCTATACTCTAACCGCAAAGGACAACCGCTCATCACCTAGAAAGCACAGGGGGGATCCGCTACCTGGAGGCAGAGCCATCCATGAAGATAAACGTATCATCGCCTGAGCTGCTCAGAACATACTCTGCTACATGTAGATCGCCTTTTCTTCCATGACCTCAACTCGCTGTCATCTCCACCAAACTCCTTTCGTAACTGGTTCGGTTCGCAAGAGCAAAGGATGCTGATTTTTATTGCCATATATTAGTATGACCATTCTAGAATACAATAGATCGGTTGCACCTGATCACATAGGCTTTCTTCATATTCAGCAATTACTTATTATTAGTACTTCAACATTACAATAATAAGTGCTAATAATGAGAATATCCTAGTTTGTTAAAGCCAATGTATCATTTCAACTCTCGTAAACGTCAATGCTGTACTTTCCCTTCTTACAAGCTTTGCAGCTCCGAAATTGAACACCACGAGCACATATTGCATGGGCCCAAATGCGACATTCAGTGCATCTCATCCACTGGGTCTCCCTGGCGTCTGGTTTTTCTGGATCCATGTCGGGAGGTAGTTCAGGGTCTTCTTGGAAACAAAGTGAACAGAATAAAATATCGTCGGGATCGACGCGTATTTCCTCCATCGATTGAGTTTTGCTCTTCATTTCTTTGCGGATTTTGGCTCTCTAAACAATAATAATGATACCAATAATAATGATGATACTGATCACAATAGTAACAATACCATTTGAAGAAGAGATGCAAATCTCACCGTGTAAAGATCAGCTTTTTGCATTTTTGGTTTTCCACCTCTAACATCTGGTCTGGGAAGAATAACATTCTTTCCAAAAGAGACACCAATGTCGACATCGGCAATAATGCGCATCCGCTCCGCGATTGAAGTGAGAATTCCGATGGCGCTGTCGTCTTCTTGCTTGACGAGGGCATTAACTTTTGCAAAAATTGAAGTGTAGCTCTGGAATAACATTGTTACATAGATACTCGAGCAATCAGACGCAGTTGGCAGAACTTACCTTAGAAATATCGTCACGGAGTGTATGCAACTCTCCACGTATATCACGGAAATGCATCGAACTGACTTCAGCGTGCTGCAGTTCAACGACTGGAGGTTCATCGGATGATTCAGTAATGGACACTGGCTGACACACTGGGAGAAACGAAACCTTGCATTAACATGAAATGGAATGAGTTCTAGTAATAGTTTGAGGAGTGTCGCCCACGGCTAAATGTACTCATGTGAATATTTGAATTTGCTTTTGCTTACTCAAGTGCAGTTCTAATCCCGCTTAATAACTAAGGTTTTCAAGACATGCTTTGTTCCCCAACCATAATCTACGCCTCCACTGAGTAATCAATATAGAAAGTCGTACCCCTCTACCCCACTTCCCCAGCCTCCTCACCCTCGCACAGCACCGTCTCTCGTCAGTAGATATAATCGGTCGCTCACTGGCAACACTCCGCAGATTACGTTCTGCTGTTAGTTTGTTAAATGAGAAACACACAGGTAATTGTTAATATTATACAGCTATATCGGCGCGGAGGAGCCAACTAATGCGCGCTTCACCGCCTTTCGAGTTTGTTAACAAATTCGAAAAACTGTTCCCGCTCACACTCGCAGTTGTTAACAAGTGGAAACCCAGGTCCCTAGTTGTATGAACTTCCCTCCTCTTCTCTTTTCACATCCTCATGCCTTTCTGCAATCCATCGACCTTAGAATGAGCAATGGACTTCTTTCTACCATGTCAGTAGGATTGAGGTCAAAGGAATGAACGGAGTAAGCCTTAAATCCAATAGGCGCGGCCAAAGGCTTGTACAAAGAATCGTCAGCGTTTTTTGTGTAAGTTTAATGGCGACTGGGGGGTGGCGACTCGAGCTCAATATTCCTGTCGATGCCTATCTGACTAATACTAGAAGCCGAAAGAATTAAAAAAAACATCTTACATTGACGTAATCGCAAAAAAATATGGCGATAGTGACGAATAGCAATAATGAATACATTCAGAATAATCATCACATGAGTACATTTAGCCGTGGGCGACACTCCTCAAACTATTACTAGAACTCATTCCATTTCATGTTAATGCAAGGTTTCGTTTCTCCCAGTGTGTCAGCCAGTGTCCATTACTGAATCATCCGATGAACCTCCAGTCGTTGAACTGCAGCACGCTGAAGTCAGTTCGATGCATTTCCGTGATATACGTGGAGAGTTGCATACACTCCGTGACGAGATATTCTAAAAGGTAAGTTCTGCCAACTGCGTCTGATTGCTCGAGTCTCTATGTAACAATGTTATTCCAGAGCTACACTTCAATTTTTGCAAAACGTTAATGCCCTCGTCAAGCAAGAAGACGACAGCGCCATCGGAATTCTCACTTCAATCGCGGAGCGGATGCGCATTATTGCCGATGTCGACATTGGTGTCTCTTTTGGAAAGAATGTTATTCTTCCCAGACCAGATGTTAGAGGTTCGTATAAC